AAGAATTTAGAAGAGAAGCTAAAGATTTGGGAGAGATTCAAGGGGAAATCTCAAGAATTGGTTTAAAGTAAGTAAAACTTAACTAGAACTCTTGGATTAACTCATCTTTTGTTTGGAATCAAGAATCAATTTGAAGATTTAAAACCTACATAAGTTAGGGTCTTGGGTTGTGTGTTGTTGGAGCTAAATTCAAGAAATTGAGTCTTGATCTCTTTAACTTTGTTTGATTTGAGTTGAATCTTGTGAATACTTCATGAAATGAGCTCTAGGGTTTTCATACAACAAGATTTGTGTAAGGATCATCCATGTATAATATGTATTTGAGCTTTATCATGAGATTCTTGAAATTATGAAAAAGATGAGATCTTGATTTTGAACCTTAAGCAAGATTGATGTGTTAGAGTTGAAATTACACTTATATAATGTTAGTAGATCATGTTTTTGAAGAGTTTTGTATGAGTTCTTAGCGTAAAATTGGGTCTAGAAGCTTATACCTTGAAGAATTTTCGGATTGTGCAAAATTACCTAAAACTGCATGTGCGGCTGGAAGTCCCGCACGTGCAGAACATAGGGTAAAACAAGGGCTCGCACACTGCTTTAATTGCAAGTACGGTGAGGGCCTTCCGTACGTGCAGAAAAGAAGGAGAAAATCTGTCAATTTCTATTAACCTCTTCGACCCTCTAAACCTGTTTATGAACATGTTTAGACCCTCCGGAATGTCTAAAGATAAACATAAATGAATGAATCGTAAAACGATTAAATAAAGGAAAAGGCTAAGAAATGAATAAATTGTTTACCGAATTCGTATATGTGTTATGTTGTGTAGGTCACTTGCTAGAAGGACTGCTGCATGACCAACATCACTATGAGTAATAGTATTGCAAAGATATGTTCTTAATTATTTATTTTGATCCATGAACGGTGACCTATTCTGAAATTGTGTTTTGATCGAAATGACTTGAGTTTCATGAATGTTATATGACATGTGCAATATGGACCTAAGGTCATTCTGTTTATGCTACTTGGGCCCGAGGCCGTTCTGTTAATGATATATTATTAGACCCGAGGTCGTTCTGAACAACTGTTAATGTGTAGGCCTGAGGCCATTTTGTAATATGTGTTCATATGTTTGGGCTTGAGGCCGTTCTGTACTATATTTAGGCCCAAGGTCGTTATGTGCTATGTTTGGGCCCAAGGCCATTCTGTACTATGTGTGGGCTTGAGGCCATTCTAATAAATGTTGGGCTCGAGGCCATTCTGTAATATCAGTGAACCCGAGGTCGTTCTGTAATTATGATCATAAAAAAGCTACGAATTTATGATGTTATACTTACTTTGATTATGGGCTCATTCATTTAAAGCTCTTCATTGTATTATTACTCATTGAGTTTCAGTCGCTCTATATTATGTATGTATATGTAGGTGATCAGCATGTCGATGTCCAGCATGAAGCCTAACCTTAGAGTCTGCTTCAAGAATGGTTTTTGTGATCTCGATCGGTCAAGTCTCCAAGATGGAGCTTTTGTCTTTTGGCTTGTATCATGTTACAACTTTTATTTGCTTTTGCTACGATGGTTTTGGATATGTAAACTATAAGTATAGAGTTTTCTATTGTACATAAGTTTTGCATAGATATGTTAATGTGTGAATGTGCTATGATAAAAGCAAAGTATATTTTTTATCATATTGACACAGCTGGACTTTCATCATTGTTATATGCTTCCGCTTATGGCCCCATTATTATAATTATTCTGTATGTTTGTATGAGGCCATAAGTAATCAAGTAATTACTGGCCGGTTATGATCTAAACCTCTAGGGGCGGGTTTGGGTCATGACACTTCCACTTGCTACTTTACTATACTCTACTTACTGCTGAATGAGCTTCCACTTACTACTTTACTAGACTCTACATACTACTCAGTAAGTTTCCACTTACTATTTCATTATACTTCATTTACTACTCAATTTTGGTTTCACTTACTACTCAATGAGCTTCCACTTATTACTTTATTACACTAAACTTACTACTCAATTTTGGTTCCTGATCACCTACATATATATAACAAACAATGAGCTAAAGCCCAATGAATAACAACTGTGTAAAGGAGTTATGAATGATGTCCTTACAATAATTGAAACAATCGGCTCATCAATAGATCATTTTCTCGATCAATATCTCGTAGCATTCAATCATTTAGATTCATAATGGTCATAGTGGTACATCCAATAGTAGAACAATTTAATAGGTCCTAAAGACCGAATAATCAATTGAAGGCCATCAATACAATAAACAATAGTTCCAAGAATTAGAACTGATAGAGATCTCTGTAACAATAATAATAACAATAGCAATATGCTATGGATGCCACGAGTACAATTCAAAAAATAGGACAATCATTCATTTAGTAAATGGTATTACTTTAGAAAATAATACATTTAATCAATCGAAAAATAAATACGATTGAACATAGCTTTACAATAGTGTTACTCACAGTGGGTTCCCTGAAACACGTGCTAAAGATGCACTAAAGATGCGACATCCGACCTAAACAAACAAATTCAATCATAACAACTCAATACACAAGTCAATCATTCAATTAGTTGTTTACTTATTCAATTTCTATTCAATGTTTACCCGTTCGGTTCACACTTTTCGTTATATATTTCATTCGTGTTCATGAGATGCAAATGCACATGAAAAACACATTAAAACTATGCAAACGGAGGCCCGAAAGGTAGAAAAATGGAGCGAAAACGAAACCTCGACTCCCCTTACAATTGCATGTGTGGGGGCACTAGCCATATGTGCGCCCCGCACATGCAATTAAAGTAGTAGCTGAGCTTCAAATGTCTTGTTTTTCGCACGTGCGGGCCTCCAGGCCGCACGTACAGTGCTGGGTGCCGTTGAGTCCGAAAATTTGTTGCAATTATAAAGCTCAAAGTTTGCAATTCAAACCTCATTTTTATGCAATTCAAGTCCCAGATCTTGTCAAAAACACTTTAAATAAAACTCATAACTTCAAATTGAGGCTCAAAACCATGCAAAAAGTCCAACCTATTGAATTTACATCCAAAATTATATTCGATACAAAGTTAGCTCCAATCTTTGAATTCCATGGAATTTTCCTCCTCAATTTACAAGAATCATGCAAGGATTAATGTGTATAAACAAAATGAAAACCATGCATGTCCACAATTTGAGCTAATTCTTCTAATTTAGTTGATCAAAAACTCTAAGACATTATAAAAGTATGAACCATGTGTTTCAAACTTCCAATTCCAAAATTAATGAGGAAAGCTCTTTGACAATGTAGAATTCATGAAGATCATGCAAGAAAATATGTGTATAAACAAAATATCATGAATTCATGCCATGCATGTTGATCTTGAGCTAAATTGCTACAATTTCTTCTTTATTTGCTCATATGAGATCCTATCATCAATTTACACCACTAAACTCATAATTATGCATGATCTCTTTTATAATTCAACTTAATTTTCAAAGGATGATAACTATGACATCTTAACTTCATGAAATTTAAAGCAAAATTCTCACCTTAAGTTGTGAATTGATGAAGAATTTAAGTCCCCTTTCACTTCCTCTTCTTCCTATTTTCTTTCTCCTACTTGAGCTCTATTTCTCAAAGTCTCTCCCTCTCTCACTACATGGATGACTCAATTCAATACAAGACCCACTATCACTTTTTCTAGTCCTCTCTTCTGTATTCAATTAATGAAACACTATTTCTTTATGTATGCATACACCAGGCTTAATTTAAACGGGCTAATAAACCATATTAACTAATTTAAATCAACTTCACTCAAACTAAATTAATCCTCATCATTTATGACTCAAGTCAAACTAAATTTAATTATGCTAATGTGAATTAGGCTCTAATTGTCTATCTCAATATTTAATTCTAACTTGTTAAAATTACTTAATCGGACAGGTTTAATTCATCTCCATACATATCTATTCCGAACAACAAGACAGTACAAATCAATATAATGCATTTAACACATAGCACATAATTCACATTTAACACAAAATCACATAATTAGCTTAATTAATTAAAGAGGTGGTTGTCACAATAAGACACCACATCAGTAGACTTAAGTTGATAGTCAATGAAATTATACTTATATAGAAAATAATAAACATAAACGTTACCAAACAAACCCTTAAATAGTAATTACTATTTTGAGGTGTTGTAGGTTAAAAAAAAAAATAATAAAATAAAAATTAAAAAAAATTAATGTTTTTAAAATTAAGTTTAAATAACTTATAATTTAAAAATATTTTATTTACAATTTTTTATTTTTTATTTATTTTTAATATTATATCAAATATTATTTTTTCACAATAATGATTTTTTCAAAAATTAGTAAATTTTAAGAAATTTTAATAAATTAATATTTACATATAATATTTTACTTTTTGCAAATTATAACAAGACAAAATATAGAGGGAAAATAGTTAAATATGGTATATCATTAGTTTTTTGTATTTAAAATTAATTTAAAAAATAAAAGGGGTACAATTTTCAAGAATTGAAGGTGACTTGTTTAGCAGGTAATATTTTAAATAGCAAGTTTATTCATAACAAATAGTAAGTGAGTGAATACGAAATAGTTAGTATGTTTGTAGCAAATGATAACTTAGCATTATTTTTTTATTTTTTATTTCAAAAGTAACCAAAACTACTTTACTTTTTAGAAAATCATCTTCTTTTTTTTAACCTAATTTTACTATCTATTCATCCAATGGCTAGCATTTATCTTAGCTAAATCTAACAGTCTGTATTTTTTTTTTTTTTTGTACTATACATGAAAACCACTTTCACGTATGGTAAAATTTTGAAAAAAGTTATTAAATTTTAAAATCACTTAAACAATATAAATGGTAAGATAAAGGACCTAAACTACTAAAATAATAATACTGAGGGATCTTAATTAGAAGGATCTTAACTAGCAAGGGAAATTATCCTGAACCTCTCCCTCTCTCTCTCTCTCAAACAACAATGGTGGATTCACAGGAAAAACCTCATGCAATCTTCATACCCTACCCTCTCCAAGGCCACGTAATCCCGTCCGTCCACCTGGCAATCAAGCTCGCATCACGAGGCTTCACAATCACCTTCATCAACACTCACTCCGTCCACCACAAGACATCCAAAGCCCAGCACGGCGGCGACACCGACATCTTCTCCACCGTCCGCCGCCAGTCGGGCCTCGACATCCGCTACACCACCGTCAGCGACGGTCTTCCGGTGGAGTTCGACAGGTCGCTCAACCACGACCAGTTCATGGCGGCGCTCTTGCACATTTTTTCGGCCCACGTGGAGGAGGTGGTGGCCGAAATCGTGAAGAAGGGGCCGCCGGTGAGTTTTTTGATCGCCGACACGTTTTTTGTGTGGCCGTCGAAGGTGGCGAAGAAGTTTGGGTTGAAGTATGTCTCGTTTTGGACTGAGCCTGCATTGGTTTTTACCTTGTATTATCATATGGATCTTCTTAGGAAGAATGGCCACTTTGGTTGTCTTGGTAAGGTTTCTAAGCCTTTTCAATTTCAATTTTTTATCAATCTTTTTTGCCTGAATCAATGTGGTATATGGCACTTTGCATAACCTAATTAGTAGAGTAATTATATATCAGCATTGATTTTTCTACAAAATAATGTGACATGTTGTGGTTAATTTTTTATTTGCAAAACATTTTTCAATTTGTAACTTCATGATGATATATAAACATTATTTTTTGTATAAAATTATATTGCACTTGTGGTTTTTTTATTTGAAATATAAAACATCTATGATTGTTCTTATAATTTCATAAATATCACTGTTACATTATTTTTATTATAAATTTTGTATTTGTCTAATTGTCTTTTGTGATTTAGTGGGCATTAATTGGTTGTCAAATTTTTAACACAAAAATGAAAATTTCAATTCACTTTAATCTTGTTCAATGTATTAAAGTACTAATGATCTTGCATGACAAAACAAAAAACTAATGGATTTTGTTTTCTTTTTGACTTAAAGTATATATTAAGGAGTTCAAATTCAAAATACTTGTTCATTTTATATAAAATATATGTAATAAGGTTCATAATTTAAATTTCATAACACGTATAACACATTAATAAGACTCAATATTTCTTTTAATAAGACAAATTTTAATATTTATTGAACAAATTTACACAATTGTTCTTGAGGCATTAATTATTATGGGATTTGAATTAAAAAAACATATTAGAAATATGTTACAAATTAAAAATAATATTTATTAGTAATACCCATATTGATTTGGCCCGGATTATTATTTTTGTTTTTTGTTCCACATTGAAAATACTCTATGCAATATGTGATTTTTATACATGATTCCAATTTTTTTTTTTTTTTGGTTATGAATATAATCAGATGCACGTGAGGACCCAGTAGATTACATACCAGGCGTCCGATCAATCGATCCAAAAGACATGACGTCATACCTCCAAGAATCAGACACGTCAACAGTCTGCCACCAAATCAATTTCAACGCATTCAACGATGTTCGTGGAGCCGATTTTGTTCTCTGCAACACGGTCCAAGAGCACGAACCGGACACAATCTCGGCCCTCCAATCCAAAATGCCCTTCTACGCCATCGGACCTATTTTCCCAACCGGGTTCACCAAAAGCATCGTCGCCACCAGCCTCTGGTCCGAGTCTGATTGCACCCAATGGCTCAACACCAAACCCCCCGGTTCAGTCCTCTACGTGTCCTTCGGTAGCTATGCCCACGTGGCCAAAAATGATTTGCACGAGATAGCCCATGGGTTGTTACTTAGCAAAGTGAGTTTTATTTGGGTGCTTCGCCCTGATATCGTGAGCTCTGACGATACCGATCCCTTACCCGTTGGATTTAAAGAGGATATTGGTGATCGTGCGATGATCATACCTTGGTGCTGTCAGATTCAAGCATTGGCTCATCCATCAATCGGAGGGTTCTTAACTCACAATGGGTGGAACTCGACTTTAGAGAGTATTTGGTGCCAAGTTCCTCTGTTGTGCTGCCCACTGTATACTGATCAGTTCACTAATCGTAAGTTGGTTGTCGATGATCTGAAGGTTGGGATTAATCTATGCGATAAGAGACCGATCACGAGGATGGAGGTTTCGGAGAAGATTAACCGTCTGATAAGTGGAAAATCTAAGGATCCGTTGAAGAAGGCGATTAAGGATGTGAAAAAGACATTTGAAAATGCGTTGACCAAAGGTGGATCATCGGAAACAAATTTTGATCGATTCATCAAAGATCTAAAGGCCAGTATTGAAAAGAAATGTGGGGCCAATGTGGGGGAGAACAAAAAGTGTCCGTCTGATGGTACTTGACTCGCAACATTGGCTTTGATGCAGAGATGACGAGGTTTCTATTTTGTAAAAATGTAAGACTGCTATTTGAAGCATTCATTGTAAACATTTTTTTTTAAATTTTTTATTACAGAATTTTGGGAAGTCCCTTAATGAAGTTTGTTTAGGGGGAGACAAAGAGCCCAACAATTTGTAATCATTCAAAATAGATTTTTCAAGAACATAAATACTGGTATGTACTTTCAGTTTTTTAGATAATTTTGTTAGTTGTCTGGAATGGATGGTTTTAAATTGTGGGTGATTATTTAATTCTCTCAGGCCATGTTTGTTTGGGTGGACATGAGCTTGGGATTGGACTAATAGTCCAATAAAATTATTAATCCGATATTTGGTTAAACATTTGAAGTACGAATTAATTATTTTAAACTTGACTATTAGTTAAGATAGGATATATAATCCAACGGATTCGTAATCTTAGAACTATTAGTCATGGGAATACTAATCCAGTCCGCCCAAACAAACATGGCCTCAAAGGATGAATACGTGTTGTTCTATAAGGTTTTGATTGATGGAAAAGTATAAAGGCTCACAATTCATGTTGGAGATGGGAAACAACATGAGGCTAAGTAATTAGTGATTAGCTTAGAGTATGGTCATGTAGTGTTCCGAGTGTATTGAATAATTTTCCCTCAAATTGGATTGGAATTTAGAGGGAAATGATTTATTAACACATCTCAGAAGTAATTGAGGGGTTGATATCTAATTCGAAATTATTCATTTTCTTTTGAATGGGTTATTTTGTCTTTGATTTATATCGAATTTCTTAATTAATGTTATCAATTGAATTAAATTGACATAATGTAAAATTAAAAAGTAAAATTAAAACAATTAAAATTATAAAAACCAAATAAACAAAATTTTATACATTTGTGACAGAAATCATAGATGCTCTAAATTTTTACCACATTTTAGATCCTAATACGATTTGAATCATTTAACCAAACTGAAATCTTAAAATCCTATAATTTGAATCAGGATTTTGATAACCCTGATTATCATCACTTTGTTGGCCATAAAGTTTAATATTTTGTAGAAATGTAAAATTACTATTTGATGTGTTTCTTTGTGAAGATCACATGTACCAAAAATCAATTTGTAAACAATTATAGTTATATGATCTTGTGGGGATATATTTTCTAAGTACCAACATGTGGCAAGGTGACGCCGACGTGTCAGCCGAGGTGCCACGTGTCCTGGTCATGACGCCGAGGTGATCTCGGCAAGGCCGAGGTTATCTCCGATGATATCGGAATCCTTGATAAGTGGATAAGGGACAAGAGTTCTAGAATGAAAAGGGAACTCAACCTGGATGAGAGACAAGAGTCGTAGAATGAGAGAAGACTTCAGTTTGTATTAAGATAAGACTCCTAGAGAGTTTATCCTAATCTTACTGGGAGTCCAAGATTAGCAGTAATCCTGAGTCCATAGAAGTTAGGCTTCTATTGGGACTAGGTTTATGTTGGCTATAAAAGAGAGGCACCCTCATGGGTCTAAGGTATGCTTTTTGATTCAAGCTTGTGAGTTGAATAATTGATTATCTTTGAGAGATATACTGACTTGATCGTCGGAGTGCCCCCGGGCGGACGAACCACTGCGGGATTCTTATATTTCTATTGCAGGTTAGTCAGGTGTCATCTATTCTACCAGTGCTTTCCAGCTGAATTACTGAGTTGGCAGTATGGTCAGAAAATTTTCCACACAATTTGGCACCGTCTGTGGGAAAGAAAGAATAATAGATGGTCAATAAAAGAAAGAAGAATAGATGGCTAATGACGGACAGAAAGATCAGACTGGAGACAACGTTCCTGCTGGGAATGGGAGATCTATCAACCTCGACGTTGAAGGGGACAACCACAACATAGAAACTCGTGACCAGAGTCACGGAGTGAAAGACGTCGGCCAGGAAGGTGACGCACCAAAGACAACAGATCGAAGCGGATACTACAACGAAGATGACCTCCAGGTATGGAAGGACAGATACCTGCGGAGGAACGAAGACCCTTCCAGAAGGGATGCAAAGACAGGGGGCATGAGCGCTCCCAAGGAGATAACATTCAAGTATAGAAGAACTCATCCTGAGTGAGCAGATCTCGGATTCCAGATCCTAGATCCCAGATCCGAGAAGACATGATCTCAGCTTAGACAAGTAGGCCCGAGAAGACGAGAGCTCAACCTAAGCCATGCAAGGAGCAGAGAGAAGAAGAATATGTTTACCACTTGCTGAAATTTATAGCAATTTACAAGTTGGTTAAACCGATATGATGTTTACCACTTGTTGAAATTTGTAGCAATTTACAAGTTGGTTAAACCGATATGATGTTTACCACTTGTTGAAATTTGTAGCAATTTATAAGTTGGTTAAATCGAGATGATGTTTACCACTTGTTAAAATTTGTAATAATTTACAAGTTGATTAAACCGATATGATGTTTACCACTTGTTGAAATTTGTAGCAATTTACAAGTTGGTTAAACCGAGGTCATATTTAACACTTACTGAAATTCTGTGTGAATTTACAAGTTGAAGTTAATCCGATGTGATATTTAAACACTTGTTGAAATTCTGTGTGAATTTACAAGTTGAAGTTAAACCGAGGTCGTATCGGAAGAAGATTGGTTTAAACACTTGTTGAAATTCTGTGTGAATTTACAAGTTATAGTTAAACCGAGGTTATGATAAAGGAAGATGGTTTAACACTTGTTGAAATTTTGAGAAAAATTTATAATAAAAAAAATCATTTTTTTAATAAATACTTGACAAATCATATGATTTAAAATTCTTCCCATCAATTTTGTTAATTTTATTTAAAGCATTGATGCATATAGGATTGCCTTCTTGTTGGGGTAGGTCAAAGTCCGAGGCTTTTAATTTCTTGATTGAGCGGGTGTTGTCTAAGCTCCAAGGCTGGAAAGCACACTTATTATGGCAAGGAGGCAAGGAAGTTCTCATCAAATCAGTAGCCCAAGCAATCTCAACGTATGTGATGGCCCGTTTTTTGTTCCCAAACAGGGTTCGTGATAAATTGAATTCGCTTATTGGTAATTTTTGGTGGAAAGGAAATCCGGAAGGGAGGGATATTCACTGGGCTTGTTGGGATAAACTGGTGCTTCCAAAGAGGTGTGGGGGGCTGGGTTTCTGCGCCTTGAAGTCTTTTAACAAGGCCTTATTAGCTCGTCAAGGGTGGAGGCTTATGAACTCCCCAAACTCTTTCTTTGCTCAAATGCTAAAAGGTATCTACTTTCCAAACACTGATTTTGCCAATGCTCAAAAGGGAGCGAGAGCCTCATGGGCGTGGGCTAACCTACTCCAGGGCCGTGAGGTGTTGGAAAAGGGTTTGAGATGGCAAGTGTCCAATGCGGCCTCCATTCGTTTTTGAGAGGATAAATGGGTGTACAAAATGATTTTATAATCAAAATATTTTCATTTTTTTAATAAATATTTGACAAATCATATGATTTAAAATTCTTCATATCAATTTTTTAATTTTTTTTTATTTTATTTTAAAGCATTGCTGCATATAGGCTTAATCTATGTAATGGTATATCTTAATCAATTTAATTTAATTTTTTTTTTATTTTTTACTTACACCTAAATATGACTACACTACGCGTTTAACTCGGTTGATCAGAATCTTGCATCCAATTAGAATGGACCCATGGGCCACACTTGGGCTTCGTGATACAATTGTTGATCTAATTAGAATGGGCCCATGGGCGTCAGTCCACATAAAGGTCCAACTCCCTACCTCAACAAGGATGTACTTGCTTCCTAATTCACCACACCAATGAACCCAACTCAAATAATTACCCAATTTTAAAAAATAAAATAAAAGTTTACCACACCACAAACCATCACAATGCACGGGGTGTAAATTTGACCCATCAACCCAAGCTCACCTAAAGCCCACCCGTGACCTAGTGCTGCTCGACCTAGCTAGGCTTAGCCAGGCCTGAACCAACTCGAGACCTTGAGCCTGGGTTGTGTGTTTTGAGGCTTGACCCTACCCGATTGCCTTGTTCCAGAGCCCAGTACATCGACCCATTTATGGCCCACTTCAAGACCTAGCCCGTCCAAGGTCCACTGTCATTTCTAAGCTATTTTGGTAGGGAAAAAAATAAAATTTTGGTAGAAAAAATAAAAAAATAATCAAGCTTGCCCCAAACCCGAGCCTAGGCCCAAGCTAGGTGGCCCAGCTCGAAGGCACCTGAGGCTCGACTACCCCCTAGGCTTAGCCTTGGGCCACGATTTTTTGTGAGTGGGCCTGCCCGATTTTTGATAGGAGCCTGCTAGGCACAACAATAGACCAGCCTGAGCCCAAATCGGGGTTGGTCAGGCCATATTTACACCCTTAAATGTTGCTTTCATGCTCTCAAGTCTGTATAATTTTATGTTTTTTTTTTTAAAATGATCCACATGCATTATTTAAAATATAAAAATAAAAATCAATTATCCAAAATGATTTGCGAGTGACACGTATAAAATTATGAAAGGCAAATTTTATTATATCTCATTGTGGTTTGGTAATATGCGGATTACCTCCTATCATTTCGAAATGAAAAATAATAAGGTCACTTTCTATTCTTAGTGATGTCTAGAAGAAATGATTGGTTAATAATTAGAGAAAATATAAGAGAGAGTTGCCTTAAATACTTTAATAGATTGCCACATCATTATATTAAAAAAATTGATCTAACTTTTGAACTAGAATAGCACTACTCTTTGAAAATAATCACTTTTGAACTAGAATAGCACTACTCTTTGAAACTAATCACATAACTGTATTAGGATTTTATGGACTAAATTGTACCATCACACATTTTGTACCAAATTTGAGAACTTGGTTATTTTGGATCATATCACCTCTCTGTTTTTTTATACATTTTTTCAAAAAAAGACAAAAAAAGTTAAAAAGTTAACTTTTAACCAATTTTTCCAAACAATCCTAATATGTGTGAAACACATGCCAGGTTGTGAAGAAGTTATGTGCTCATTTTCAAAGGTCAATGAGGTAAATCGAACATAAATAAAACAGAAGGATGTGAAGTGAGTTTTACCATTAATTAGGTTAATGGAAATTAAAAGTAAAATAATAGAGTGAGGTTTTGGTGAAGCTATAAGTCTTAAAGTGAGATTTTAGTAAAAATGTTAGAATACTAGTCAAATGGAA